CCGTTTTCAGAACCGTCCCCGCCCAGACGCCTCACCGTCCGCCAGATGATCGGGAGCCGCGTGAGCCTCCTGTGGGACCCGCCCTCGGCCCCGCGGGGCGTCGTCACGCACTACACGGTGTACTTCGTGCCCCCGTTGCCCCCCATGGAGAAGGTGGTCCCGGCCGGAGACGGGAACGCCACCGTCGCCTACACCCTCGACGCCTACTTCAAGCCGAACACCAATTACTCGTTCTGGGTCAGTCGCGGCTCGGCGCCCGCGCGTGCTCACTCCGAAAGCACCGTCACCGATTGATTTCTATCCCGACAGGTGACGGCCTCCAACCGAGCCTTCGCGTCCAACTCCACGGACATCGCGTACCTGTCGTTCGACGACGTCGGAGACGTGGACGAGATCGTCAACGTCAGCCTGGCCCGGCTCAACGACACGGCGGTGTCCCTGCGGTGGCACAGGCTGCGGGGCGTCGAGGGCTACGTCGTGGTCACGAGGCTGCCCCCCAACTACGCCAACCCGGAACCTCTCAAGACCGACTCCGACAACGTCACGCGTGAGTCGATGTCGCGTCGCTTTAACCGATCCCGTCCTCGATCTACGGGAAAGGATCTAGTTCAAGGGTTTATTTTTAAATAAATCTACGAGAATAAAAAATAAAACGTGTGTGTACTTATGTACACGAGTTTCTTTGGCGTAACAAGATTAAAATCTTTTCAAAAATTGTATTCTACGTTTGTAGAAAAAACTACACTAACAATAGAAAAAACCAAAATGTTGTCTATAGCTAACTTCAGGGTGTCGACACCCAAAATGTACTCTCATCATATTTCCCTAACGCGCCAAAAGAAGTATAATTGCAAAAACCGGAAATTATGCCCAGAAATATATTAGTTACCACACACACAATACTGACCGTATTTACGCGCAATTCACTCAGTACTTTATCACTTGTCTTCACTATTCGCACTTCATCTCTTCGGTGTTAGTCTCTTTGTATCCCACTCCAAATTGAATTAATTGGTCGCGTTTCAGCTAGCTTATTTATCCCTGGGAATAATCTTCAACGATATTAGAGAACTCTCTAGGCAGCAGGAGTGCTACTGAGTAGCGATTGCACAATTCTAGCACGTACACACTCTTTATCTCTTTCGCACATTGCTCCGTCCTTGTCGTACGGTTTTCTAGAATGTTTAGTCTGGCTTCGAGAAGGTTCCGATCTTCCCTTTCTCTCGCGTATCATTCTGTCCTTATCGCACACCTAGAAAATCGGAGAGGAGTATAACTGAAAACTGTACCACTCGACTATACATGTTCTTAAACTGAAACACTTTCACCCTCCTGAAAACTAGGGTAACATTATGCAAATTACAACTTTGTAATATGTGATTGACCCTCTCCTGAAACGGTCAGAAATAATATTTCAGCCTGCTGAAAAGTTAAAGTAAGTCAACCCGTCTTCTTAACACTATTAAAGAACGATGAACGTTTTCCAGTGACCGACCTCCCCCCGGGCGTCCAAATATACGTAGACATAAAAGCCTACAAGGACGACGTCGTCGGCCGACCCTTCACCGTCCCCGTCAAGACCGGAGGGGATCCGGACGAAACTCTAAACGTGACCGCGACGCTGCTGCGGGAGAGGGGCACCTCGGTTCGCCTGTCGTGGAGCCCGCCCTCCCGGGACAAGTATAGGGGCAAGGAGGTTGAGTACGAAGTCCACTACACGGACATCGCCAACTTCAAGGCCAAGTTCGGAGAAATGGCTAACGGTGCGTTGCGACGTCGCGATGAGGTTTCTTCGAGTGAACGTCTCTTAAATAATTCTCTCACGCGTTTCAGACACGAAGGTGACGACCAGGAACACGGGCATCGTGATCGACGGCTTGAACGCGTGCGAGACCTACATGTTCACGGCGGGTCTTCGGGGAGGTCCCCTGGCGCCCGTCGTGGGCGTCATCACCGGGGAAGACGAAAGGCGAGTATTTATATTCACGAAATGAGTCCCCGAACGAAAACCCAATGTATACGAATCACGTTTAATGAAAGTTTATCGACGAATTGTTTCAGTGCGCCAATTAAGGACCTGAAGTTTGCGTACGACGAGAAGAAGTCCCACTTGAAGATCTCGTGGAGGGCGACCTGTGACGTCATCAGGAATCCCGTCGCCTACAGGGTGAGCGCCTCGAGTTTCAAACTGGGATTTGATTTACCGCAAATAAATTAATGACGGACGCCATTCAAAGGGAAAGATTTCGTTGCATAAAAATGAATTTTATTTACAATTTTATACAATATCGTCGCTTTGTCGACCACGTTTTACTTTCGTACTTTTAAAGGAATTGGAAAATGAATTATTTCGCTAAAGAGCAAGTTAAGAGCGCATTAGACCAAATGTATGATTTGACGCGCGCATCTTTCTCCGCCCGCTCAAGCTCGAGGGCGTTGTGCGTAGTATATGCAATACTATCAGATTCATTTGAGGTTTGCTTAAAAAGTGCCAGATTAATTACGTGGAAAGAGTAGCCCTATCCCAAAGGGGGCACCGCGTATGCAAACCTATTCACGTGGGCCTTAGGGGAATTTATTATTAATTGTAATTGTCAGAGCTGAACATTATCTATATTAAAAATTATTTGCTAACTAAAATTATAAGAATGAGATCTATTATCTTTAACCATTGTTAGTAATAAACAAATCAACCAATTAATCTATTTATTGACACCTAACGGCGGCAAAATAAATCATATAGATATCATTTTCAATAAAATCATAAAGTAGCATCTGTTCAGTTTACGTTCAGTATACGAAATTTCATGGAATCTTTATTTTATCGAATAATTACGTATTATATATTCTTACTTATATGTATTATAAATGCGACAAGATTAAGTTTAGTCTTTGGGAATGGTTTTTATTTTTCTCGTGGTAATTATAATATTAATCGATCGCAGGGCGACTGATTCTGACGTATGCTGGAATTTAATAAAATCGCTAACAGCTCTCGGCCAAACTAATGTGATGTAACTCAATATACTATGGGTTCCATAATACTGGCTGCTCTTTTTAATTACAGTCAACCGTTGAAACGAAAGTGAAGGACCAATACATTTTTAATATTTTAAATTCAAAAATTCATTGCAGCTGGAGATAACGGAGAAAACTCGCGGCCTCACGAGCCGTTACCAATTGGAACCCAGCCGTAACGTGTCGTTGTCTCACACGATGATGGGGGTGCCTCTCGGTGGAAGATACCACATTTGTGTACGGGTGAGGGAAATACAATAATTATGCATCTTTTTATCACTCCCGGTCGGTATTCGATATAAATAAATTTATCTCCTCAGACGGCGGCGAAGGGCTCCCGCGACTCGTGCGCGGAGACCCGCAGCGGGGAGCTGGCTCCTCCTCGCCGGGTGCTGGCCTGGCTCTCGCCCAACGGCCACGTCATGATGTCCTGGGACCACCCCGAGCACGACGACGCCCTCAAGTATGTTTTTAAATATTTTCTCAACGGTATACCGTGCACTTCGTACGTTGTGTTGTGCTAGATCGCAAGATGGCACCACTTCATTCCCGAATAAAGGTTTCTTCACCAAATGAATTCCTATCATTCCAGACCGAAATACCAAGTCATCGTCTCGAGCAAAGAGATTCCCGAGGACCTCATCCGACCGACCTCGGACATGTTGACGGCCGAGACCGAGTTCTCCCCCTTCCTCGTGAGCGTCCCCGGCGGAACCGTCGGGCCCCTGTACGCGGGAGTCCGCACTCTCGTCGACGGGTACTACAGCGACCTCAGCGAGGTGCAGACCATCGAGGTGCTGGGTGAGTGTTTAGAAAAAGTTTCTTTTCAGGATATCAGACAATATGAGAAGATTTAAAACGTAAATAATGCGATTTTCTCTTTGCCGTCAGGCGCCAACGTCGAGGAGCTCTCGAGCGCCACGGGTGCGGTGTGGTTGGGCGTGGGCGGGGCCTGCGCGGCGGCTTTGGCCCTGGGCGGGGCTCTGCTGCACGTGATCCTGCGCAACCGGAGGCTCAACCGGTCCTTCCTGCGCCTGGCCGCCACGCCCCGCTACGACAGCCGCCGGGGACAGGCCACCATCGACCACGGTCAGTTTAATAAACGCGCTAAAATGTCTCATCGCGAGAGTAAAGGGAAGTGATAATTATTGTGATTCTAATTCTCGCAGAAGACGACGACGTGCCTCCCATCCACGGATTCTCCGACGACGAGCCTCTGGTGATCGCGTGAGCTGGTGGTTTTGTGATCTCGTGCACCGAGAAATTGGCAGACTTTTTGGAAATTATATGTTTTACTTTTATAATGAGGCAGTTATTTTGACATTTTACTTCTAAAATTTGTAGTGATTTTTTTTAATTATCGATAAGTTTGTCCGTCACTTGTGTGTGTAAATATCGAGTAGGCCACGGTGGCCGTTGTGATTGAAAGATATAAGTGGACATTTGCCAGTTCTTCGCATCCACATGACGACCCCGGTCGCGTAAAAGTATTATAATTTAACTAGTTTTAATTGAATGATCGGTCGATTCGATTCTTTTCTAGAAGAATTTAGTACAATTAGGGTAATAATCGTTCATTTCGTGACGAGGGCTGTAAACTAGAAGACTTTACGTTTAATTAATCCCCAACTCAAGTTCGACACCAAAGATTTCGCGAACCTTAGAATTAATATGTATCATATAAACGTTGATAGATAATATATTTTTGGTGGACTTTTAATTTTGCCAAATATCTAAGTGAAAAGTGAAAAGGTAGCTCCGATCTCGACGTTCCGATTCCTTCGTAGTTTTAGTTCCTAAGTGAAATGCCTCTAGCGTTCTTATGATTTTATTTATTTGAATGTTACTCTGATAGCTAAATTCGTATTGTAAGGTTTATATTGATAAAGTAGACGTCGCTCATAAAGAAACATGTTTCGATCGTTCTAATAAATTTTCTTAAATCTATTTGTGTTTATTATTTTGTATCCCAAAGAAATAAATTAGTTCAGCATATCTCGAACTACTCCAGCCGCCCATTCCAGGACTGGTGCCGTGAGGATGAGCCCGTCTCTCCAGACGGCCACTCCGACTACGGACTGACGGTCACCGCTCGCACACAATAGAGGACCTCCTACGCCGGTCTGGAATTTCAAAAAATCTAAATGCCGTGTCCAATAATATCTGGACAGATAATTAAATCATGCCTAGACAACTAAAACAAGCAATTAAATAATTAAGACAGCATAAATGTGTCTGACATTGTCACAATGGGATTTTACAGCAGATGTCAAGAATTACCACAGATCCCGGTGTCTTCACAGAGGCACAAAAGGCGTCGGTCGGTAGCTTCACGTCAAGTTTGTTCAGGCGCACGTTACACACTTTCGGTGATAGAATTGACGCTCGCTGCCAACGCGGCCTTTGTCGAATGGCTAAAACAATTATTGTACACTTCTTAAATCTCTAAAGAGTGTTGGTAAATAAAAAAAATATGTCGAATCGATTGCATAGGTCTCATTTCCAGAGTTAAAAGAAATTTCTTTATTGATCTATAAAGTTTAACAACTGTCGATTTGCCGATGCTCCGATAAAATTATTTAAACACGCCTTGCATATCCAAAACAAATGGCAAGTTCCCAGATTACCGGATTTAAAATCGATGAACCGGTATAAGCTAGCACAATATTATAACTTTAAATGAAATAAATAAAATGTTTATAAAGCTTTGACTAGATTTAATTGAGATTGCGTTTTTATTTAAATTATAAAAACGCAATTAGTTCGCGCCAATTAAAATTAATATTTTTATAGATGTTTATAATAAAAATGTGATCTTCAAACCTTCGTCGTAGCCGCCCCAACCCACAAAGTAGCACTCATCACCGAGGTAAGGATCTGACATGCAAGCGGGTTGTACGAGACTTCCCAAGATCAACGATCGAGTCCAATGCTAAAAATAGACGAAATATTTAGTGGCCTGAACTATGTTTATAATTCTTCAAGATCTCAAGAAAACAAAATACAATATGGTTTGTCTACGTTAGATAGATACGGTATTTATATAAAGAACTGGTTGTCTTCAATGCCTGCAAAGCCGAAGCCTATTAACTAGTGTTGGAATGCTTTTTAAATATAAAACACGATACGTACTAAAACAGCTAAATTATGATTTAGTTGGCCAGGTTTGTACTGCGGGTGAGTTATTACATTCGTTACGCGATGTTGAGATGGAGAATTTTCGTCAGCCAGGTCAAATATACCAGCTATTATACTTATTTCTCCTGCTGATGTTCTATAAAAAATTATTGGTTCAATTACCAAAAATATTAAATTGTTAATACCTAGATTACTACTTATATTTATTATTTTGTAACGACTTTCATAAGGTAAAGATAAAATAATTTTAAGTTAAATAGTTCATATGACGTGTTAGCCTGTCTAATTTTCTATCTTTTAGAATGAAAGAAAAATAAACGTACCCATGTACACAATCGGCAGCTGTGATGGCAGCGCGGGGGTGTACCAAAGTTGCATAGCAAAGGATGCTTTGGCGGCTCCTTGTTAACACGATCAAGGCCACCCAAGGAGTTGAACCTTTACCGACTATATCCAGCTCTTTTTCTAAAAAATATGTTTCACTACATTTATACTATAGCCACAACCAAAAGCTTACAGTAAACAACAAACATAGCGAAACAGTAAAGTTAAACAGTAGGTTTGGTGAGGCACAATATTAAATCCTGGAATATGAATATGGTGGTATTCTCAAGAGAAAGCAAGTTTAAAGAACAAGCAACGCGGTTACCTACGTAAAAACTTACTTAACTTAAGGATGGGGCTTCTTTGTTTCGTTCCATATTTTGGCTAAATAAAAAACTTTACGTACCGGTATCATAAACATTGTTCGAACTTTTTCCACAGTTCCTATAAACTTGTTCATCTAAGTCAACATACTCCTCATAGTCTACCATTAAACTCGGTGCAGCTTTATATGGCTTTATTTCCATCGACTTATCGTTGTGAAATTCACTCTGAGTCGTTTTGCGTACAAATCTATTTTTAGTCGGTACTAAGTTAAGTAATTTGAAACCATGTAAAACTTGAAAGTCTGGCTTTGATCTGAAACTGACGACACTGCCCCCAGAATCCTCTCCGGTAGGAGTAATTTTGTACGGTTTGAGTCTACTTTCAGATATCGCCATTGGACGTCCTGTATATATTAAATTCAATAATTTACTTTTTACTTGAAAATATATATTAGAACTAATTTATTACTACTATTATTCAGAACGGCATGTGGTCTTTTAAAGCAGATTAAAGTAAAAGCAACTGATTTGTATAAATTTCCAAAATTTAAATTATTTTTTTAAAATTAGTATCTCACCAAGTCTTGGATCTATTGTAGAATAGCCGAAAGAATCTTCGCCTTCGTCACTAACTTCATCTGAGCCACTAAAAAAATATCCACCAGTAGGTTTGATAAGTGTCCATCCCTTATTATGATCAGAGCCTAGCAACCCACCTGGTTGTGGTATTTCATCTGCGTACTCTTGGTTACTATAATCAAAGTTTGAGTCACTGTTTTGGGCACTGATGCTTTCTGGAGATGAAGGTTTTCTGAATTTTGAATTCTTTACATTCCAATACGGATCAAAATTATCTTCTGGAGTAACTATTCGCTGTGTTATTATCGCTGGGGATGTAGTTGTCGACATTTTTGATTCTGAAGATTGTAACTGATATTTACGCTTCAATAGAGCATTTCTTTGCCTCATAGCCGGGTTTTCACGTTCGTTGTTATCAGATCTCCGAAATCGCCTGTGATGCTTCGCGGTATCAGGGAAATATATTTCTGATTTATCGTATGTTTTTAAAGGCATTATACAACAAACTATTAAATCGTTATGCATATTTTGACCTGAAAGTGGCCTGTAGGAAATACAAAAAAATTGTCATCTTAATAAAAATATGATATTATAAAATATACTATATGATTTATTTAATTATTACTTACCGACCATTGAAAGAATATGGAATACCATGACTGTTTCTACAGTTTATTGCTTTAATAAATGTACAAATACTTTCACTATCCTGTATTTTATTCACAGCTCTGGTTAGAATGGACTTCGGTATATTTATAGCGTCACTGACACTTTCTTGAAATTTTACTTCATGGGTTTTATTCCTATTTTTATTTTCTACTACATCATTATCATCCGGAAACACGAAGTTTAAGACATCTTCACTTATTGGCGTAGTACTACTAGCTGCTGAACTAGTAAATGATACCAAAGAACTAACATTTTGTGGACTCTCACTTTCCGTGTTGATTAGTTTATCCTTATTCAAACTGTCTTCATGATTTGGAATTCCCAAGGCAGATATATCTTTGAAATAAATAGAGGATGAGTTGTCATTCTCACTGCCTTTCATATTAGTGTCATTCTTTTCTTTGGCTGTATCGAAATGATCTAAATGATCTCGAAAAACAACTTTAACGCTCTCATCCGTTTCGAATTCACTAATATCTTCTATCTTTGGTTGCGGTGGCGCTAAATTATGCAATTGGGCCACCTTTTCATTCAACCACCAGAATTCGCCATTTATTTGTGATGAAACTATGTGGCAATATAGAAGTGAAATGAATAATTTTGTGAACATTGTTTCGGCTGTCGCGGCTTCGATAGGAATCTGCACTGTGCAACAGCGTAGCGCGTTCAAATGTTAAAAGTGCAGGATGTTGCGTGTGCACATCTATTATCGGGTAATTTTCAATTGTCAAGTCGATTCGATTCATATGCGACAATTATGATTAATGCGTGCTACTCAAACGCAGTTTGCGGATAATTTGCGTTCAAATATTAAACAATATTAGGACATGACTAATTTAAAGTACAGTTGCAATGTTTATTATTAATTATGTTAATTATATTAAAAAAAATAATACAACTAAGTTGTTGTATTGCGTGGCTTACATAGCCACATTAAGGCTGTAAAATAAAAGAAGAGGATCTGTCAAGCGCTCTTTGGTATAGACAAGCCGATATCTTCAGTTTTCTTTACTGATTATTTTCTGTTCTGTACATTTTGTTTGATAATGACACTATCGCAAAAATATACTTTCAAATCATTTTGTACGCGATTGTACAGTAATATTAAGTTATTATTGACAAATTCATCATCATTTCAATTAATTATAAAGTTTAAATACCGAGATTAACATGACCTACATTCTCTATACAGAAATGAGGTCTTGCGTTGTATAATTACGATTCACAATAATTGGGATTTTTATTGTTACGTTCTTAGTGCTTGTTTGCCATTTTCCTTATTTATTCATGACCTAAAATGATTGCATACCTCACTCTTATTATTATTTTATCGTGATTACTAAGTGACCATGTTTATGATAACACTCATTTTCACACAATAATTTTGGTTTTGAGAACTGAAGCATGGTTTTCTTAAGAATATTAAAAACAAAACTGTCCGTGTTTAACATGGATAACACAATTATGATTATTTTCAGCAAATTATCGTTTTATAATAGAAAAATTATATAACCTTAAATATAGAATTAGGTTTAGACGTTGGATAACATAAAATTTAAAATTTATTATTGAAAAATATAACCAACAAAACGTGTATAACAAGCGAAGAGAGTAAATTAAATTTTCTTAAACTTAACATTGTTTCGCGTTCGTATGTTCGAAGAATCAGTTCCGCTCGACCGAAGATTTGTTGGTTTGATCTCTCGCTCAGCGGAAAGGCTTGAAAAGTTGGCGAAAGAGAATATTTTATTTAAGAAACAAATCACCTTTGAGGCAGGTTTATATCCCTAAAGACTAAACCTAGATCTATGCTTTTGGCTTTTAAAGTTCGTACGGTATGCGATAGGTAATGTAAGTATAGTATAAAGCCTAATACAACATAAATTAAGCCTACTTTTACTTCGTATTTTGGTGTTTAAAAGTATATCATTGCCTTTTTTTAAATTACACAGAAATTAGGCGCATCTGTACCTGTAATTTTGGGGTCTAGGTGAGCGTACTATAAAAACTTAGATTCTTCTACGTTGCATTTCTATAACAGAATGTTAAGCGGTTTAATTTCTATACTACGAGTAAGTATACAAATTACGTCAGCGCCATATGAAGCAAAAAATCATCCATCAATACAGATATTTGCATGAAGTCCAGTAAACCAATCGTGAACATCGTGTGACATTGGCATGGGATTCTTACTTACTTAGGTGTCCGGGATAGAACAATTGGTAGCCCATCAATTATTCGGGCATATTGTTATCAATTTATAGATTTAAGACATGAAGGAATCTTCAAGACGTTTTTCTTCACAGAACAAGCATATTTTTAATAATTTAAATAAAAATACAGTAGAACACAGGTGAAACAAAGGAGCGAATGACCTTAGTGTTGAGATCACGCTGAAGTGAGACGATAAAAGTAAAGTTTATTACAAAATTTCCGTGGTAAGGATGAACGTCCAGAAAAGTTAAAAGTTTTCTTTAAAGGAAGTGTTAACTGCATCGCAATTATTTTTATACGCGTCGTTTGTAGTAAAAGTTTACGAAATGTTTATCGCAAATCTCGGTACTTTTTAACTTGTTCAATCCTGTAGTTTGTCGGACCTCCATTAAAAATGTACATTCTTCGGAGTGAGCTTCACTGAATGTTAAGCAGAGTATGTTGGCGGGAAACCACACAGCACCTCCATGCTTTTCAGCTAAAGAGATTTGTTAAAATGCTAAAACGTTTTGGTCCACCACCTAAAATAAACCTTACTCCATACGAATAGGAGCTATTTTATGTTATCCTGCCAAGATGTTCGGTCAAATCTAAACGATGCATAAGCATATTTTTATGTCTGTTTCGGGTTTGTATTGCGCCTGCAGTGAATTCAAAGCCGGTTCTGAAATATGCAAGAGATATCGCGCTCGTATAGTTTTATTTAATTCGAGTACGGAATATGAATGTTCGTGAAGTTTTAACGCATACTCTGAACGGACAGACTGAATACGTAATGGAGTATTAACTCGGCTTTAAAAAAATTGTATTATACTGAATTTGATAATAATGTAAAGGGAAATCGTACTAATACTGCATGTATTGAATAAATAATTATTTTGATATAACAGATATTAAATGTTTAACATTTTCATGGTACATCATTAATAGTTCTAGTTATGTTATATCGCTAGGAATTTTTATTATTTCAGATATTGAACATAAATTGAAAATGAATAATGAGAATTTGAGAGGTGTCCTTTTAGGTTTGTTAGAAATGAAGAGGTAGTTCTCAATGATGTGTCGAATATAAATCATACATTCGATATGTCATATTTCGTAATATCGACTGTCTTTGTAATTACTTTATCGTGGGCATCCTCCCTAAATGATATACTAAAACTAAAACTAGTTAAATTACATCCTAGTAATACATATTTTTACAGGTCAAGCGTAATGAAATCTCTTGTTCTACAAAATCATCATTAAACGGAGATACAAGGGTTTACGGCTGAGTGCATCTGAACCACACTAACTGTAACTACTGCCCTCTAGGGTCTATTTCGGCTGAAATAGAGTACAACTACCCAACTTCCCTTAATTAAGCTATTAAGTAACTGATATTTATGTCTTATAGTAATTTGCTTGTGAGTTACTAATGTTGTAAGCACAAATTAAGTATTAAAGTTTGAAGTATCGTCCAGACCAGAAGTTGGGTAACTAGTTAACATATGAACATATTATTCACACGTAAGTTATAGAATAAATTATTTGGTGATCAATACGATACAGAACTCTGTTTTGTATATAAAAATGGATTATCATAGATCGTAAAAAGAAAACTTTTATAGAAAAAGACAAACATGTATATGATAAAGGCATCTGTTTCTGTAGTTTGTACGAGTCTGTACCGGTCCGTAAGTGACCAGTTTGCATTGTTTTTATATTGCATCTGTAAAGACACTCCGATTTAACAGTGTCAATTAAAAAAAATGTGTTAAACTGAAGACAAGACCCGGCCATAATCTAGAGAATATAAGTGGCATTAAGGATAATACTATACCACTTAATACTATGTCAGACATCAGACGGAATTAAATTTCTTTTTCAGGTATTTTTAGAAGTTGTAGAAGACAATAATTGCAATTACCAAAATAGGAACTGTTTTAAAAATAAGGAAGCGTAAACGTGGTATAATAAACTCTTAATTAAAACTCATAACTTTTGAAGACTTTTCTATGAATATTAAACGAAATTTTAGAATTTACTTTGGAAATGAAAAAATATTATCAGAATAGACTTTGATGTAGAAACAACGAGTTTATAAGTTTTGAATGATGCTAAATAAAATGGAATTAAAAAATACTACTGAAGGTGTAGTACTTGTGGTGACTGGTCGTACTTGAATTCGTGTATGCGGTGATGGTAGTTATTTCGACTATGTATTTGCGTGTTGTTCCTACGAGAATGTGCGTGCTCCTATTTCACCATGCCTCCTGCTGATAGAGGACAAATATTTGTTTTAATTTAATTTATTATGATTAATTAGCTATTGATTACTTAAGATGTCATGTGGACCATGGTGTAATGGTTGGAGCTCCTTACAAACATGGTGTAAAGCAATAAACCTGGCGATTAAAAAGAGTGGCGGAGAGTTTAGTCCCAGTTCTTCTCTTCCGTTCTAGGCCCTTGATTTGACAACTGGCAGTAAACGTAAAATTTGAAGTATTTAATATATATTTCTTTTTTGACGTTCATAAGTGTACATTGTTTTACCTATATGAATATGTATATAATTTTGACTTTTGGCAACCCTGCATAGTATTTTAACCACTTGACTAACACAAACACCCACAAAAATGTTTCTGTAGTCAGCGGTAAATAGTTACTTACTGGCCGCCAAGTCCGGTGCACTTTTTTTAGGATTTACACAGTTTTGTGTAAATCCTAATAAAATTTGTATTACGCACGCGCTCAAACTTGGGACTCATTTTAAGAAATAAACGATGTGTTGGTTTTGTTCTTTTATTGTCATCATCAATATTCATTACATGCAATTATCGCATCATAATGCCGTACATAAGTAATGCGGCAATTCTATATAACAGATCCGCTAAATAAGCAATAAACAATATACTATGTACTTACTTGCCGAAAAGTAAACAGAAAAACATTAATCTACAATTAATTAAAATTACTCAAAGGCTCTTCTAATTTACTTCAAAATGTAAAATCGGGTTTGTATAGACGGGAAAATGGATTTGGGAAAGCAACTGATTAATTGAAAAAAAAAAGTGTTTTAAGGCGTATATTGGAATACATTAATATTAAATGATATACGTACGCACACGACCATATCCTTATATGTTTTTGGTAGGGTACATAATATAATCTCTCTGTATAAGTTTTTCTAAAAATAAAACAAATATGCCTTTGACATCATAAATATAAAAAAATGGTATAGGTATATCAAGATTTTATTTTGTATATTAATATTATCAAGGCAAATTATATATATTTGTGTGATTTCCTTACTAAATCTCAATGTATGTATGTACCCACATCCACAATTCTCTAATTGTCTTTGGAACTATGTAGGGTAAATAATATACATTATTATATCTGTATACTAATGGT